AGAAAATAAAGAGTAAAATAGATGATATTTGTTATACCAATAAATATAAATAGATTAAATGTGTCACATAAAACACTAAGATAATCATCCTTGAAAACAAACATAAAACAATTTGCTAAAAAAAGACAAAACTTAAATATATGGACTCGGAAGGTTGAAAGAAATGGAAAAAGCAATATCATGAAAATATTAACAAAAATAAAGTGAATCTATCCATGTTAATATCATAAATTCAAGTTTAAAGCAAAAAAATCATTACTAGAGACATAGAAGCATATTTCATAAGCAAATATGCATAGTTGAATGATTGTATTGATGACCTCAACTGTGCACCTCTCCCTGTTCCACCACCTTTGAAATTCATTTAACTAAATAGTTGGAGTATATTTTTCCACTCCTTTAATTTGTGCTTATTGATGTTATTTGTTTTGGTAAAAAAAAAAAAAAAAGTTAGCTGACTGAACATAAGCAGAAGCTTGATGAAATTTTTGTGTGTTTTGTCTTTCTCTTTTGCTTCTCTGGGATAGTTGTGAGAACGTACCTGAGCTATCCTTCTGGAAGGATTTTAGAGATATGGGGATAAAAGAAACACATGGAAGAGAGATGGGTTAATCAAATCAAGGCTATTATAGATGAGCCAATGAACCCACAATCAGACAACTTTCAAGCAGGGGGAAAGAGAACAGATAAGATCAGGAGAGTAAGGGAGCCAATCTGCAGCTGACCAGGATTGTACAAATAGACCCCAAAAAGAGCAGAAAAATCACTCAGCCAACTTGCAGACAGATAAAAAATAATAAATCATTCTTTTTCTTTTTCACTATATTTTGAAATGATTTATTATCCAACATTATTATATAAAACAGATAATTGATACAGAAATTGGTAACAGAAATATGGTGCTGTCATAAAATCTATAATATGGAACTGACTTTGGTACCCAACAATGGAAAAAGTTGGAAAACAAACTGATAGCAAAGTCTGGAAAATAACAAGAAAATTGTTATAAGAGGCTTGAAATATAGCAACCTGTGTTGTATAGTGATGAAACAATCATAAGACTATCACTTGCCTTAAATTGGAAAATAGAAAAATGTGCCTAATACACATTTGGATTTTAAAAAAAATTCTATATTAAATATTGAAGTCTCAGCTTTTGCTTAATAGCTACATATGAAAAGTTTCTATGAGAAAGAGATGAATTAGAAAAGATATAGCAGAAGAACTTAGAGGAAGTATAGAAGAAAAAAACTTGATGAGTTTGATATGAAAGTATCATCTCCAAAGTTCTAGATGACAAAATATTCTCAAAGGAAAATATAGCATGGAATTGAATATCAAACCAAGGGTATAGCAGTAAAAGCCCTGGGAACTAATTACTTCAATGTACAGGATAATTAAGGCAATGTATAGGATAATTAAAACAATGTGTAGATTGCTGTCATCTTAAGGACATCGTGATGCAGCCGCCTGTCATGCCCAAAGTGAGTATATCTAGGGAGAGAGACATACATCTCTACAGGAATTGGAGAAGTGGATTTTGGTAAATAGTGTGTAATGGAATCACATTTATAGAAGACACACAAAGTTTCTAAGGGAATTTAATTGGCAAGATTTCCTCCAGCATGGACTAAAATGGACTTATATTGTTCAAAATGCAACAAAACAAAAAGAAACAAAACCTATCTGCCACATCTTTCTGGAGACAGGAATGAGGATTAAAAACGTTGATAAAATCACAAAATTTCCAACATCCTTTTCAGAAGGAGTACATGAGTAAAACCAAGAAAGATTCACGTTTGAAATAACAGAGACAAAAGATGTATAGAAACATGGGTTGATGAACTACTCCAAGGGATTGTAATTAAAGCCAAAGTAAAGAACATTCTCCAAACTTGGGGTATCTGTCAACATTTTCCAAGCTAGAGTTCTGACTGTTATTGAAATAGTGACTACTACATGTCTACTGTTCCCATTCTTGAATAGGAAATTCTATCATGGTTGTTTTTTCCTTGTTGCACCATTACAGTTAAGGATGGGAGGAACAGATAACTTCTCTTTCTTTCAATAATTCTGCAGGACATGAGGAGCCACATAAAAGGAGTCATACATTGATTTAATGTGTATCCCAAGATCCTAGATCATGAACCTGATGCAAGTAAATGAAACTTTGGGAGTTCTGAGAGAAAACTGAATATATTTTTCACATGGAAGATTTGTGAATAATTGTGGCCAGGGACTGATTTGTGGTTGATTGTGCTGATTGCCCAGAATCTTTAGCTCTATGGGTACAGTTTTTTGTCTTAAGACATTACATTCTTTCTTACTAAAGAGGGGTAGTCTATATTCCCACACCCGTATAAGCTTTGCCATGTGGCAATCTGTGCTGGTCATCAATTTATTGCCTTTCAGCTCTAAATTCACCCTCGTGCCTGCTCTGTAATAGTGGACCAGAAACTTTAGTCATTTCTCCTTAGTAATGAGCATGATGCTCTGTCAGCAGAGGGTACTGGAAGGACAATGCAGGAAGAAAACGGCTTCTCATCTCAGTTCGAGCGGTCTGCATTTTTACTTTTTCTTGCCTCTGTTTCATGGTCTGCTTGTGGCCACGAGTATGGGGATATCTAGCGAGTCTCTGCACAGCCACATGCCCAGAGTGGTGGTCCCTCTGTGATCTGATGGCCCTGGTCTGACCTTGGTGACTTCTCAGAGTCCTCCTGATGCATATACTGCGTGGTCCAGGCCTCATGGCCATGGCGGCACCCAAACTCCCTCTATGTGACTACCCATGAGCCTTGGTCTGTCTGCAGGGTGGAGGGCTTTTTTCCAAAGCTCTCCTGATGCAGACACTGCATGCTCCTAGCCTCATGCCCACAGAAGCATGCTGTGAAAACTCCCCAGCCTAGGCTTACCTGCCCACTGGAGGGTCGTTTCCATAGGTCTGACGTGGAAACCATGTGCTTTAGGCTTCATGCACAGAGCAGTGTTGTGACACCCTCTTTGTGCCTGCCCACCAGCCTCAGTTCTCCTTTGCCCTGGATGGGTATTCCTTTGCATGCCCACCCACCAGGCTCAGCTCACCTGCACATTTGAAGGTTATCATCTGATTGCCAGGGGACTGGACTCACTCTGGTGGAAGTAATCTAGTGTACATCTCTGTCATCAAGTGGACTGAAGCCACACCTTCTCTAATGAAGTTCAATTTCCAGCCTTAGAAGAGGGACACTCACTTCTAATTTTGTCCTTCCTTGAGCACTCTCTCACAGCCATAGGGTATCCATTAGCTATCTTTACATTTTTATAGGTTTCTCTTTTAATATAGTTTCATAATTATTTATATTAACTTCTCTTGTTTAATAACTATGTCATTTCTAATTGAACCCAGACTCATACCACTTGTTTTGTCTAACAGGATATTAGGAGATTTCTTACAAGGGCTTGAAAGAATGTTGTGTGCTTCTACTTTCTCTCTTGTTTCTCTGTAGTCATCATTAGAATATTCCAGAGAAAGCTAGCCAGATGACCAAATAGAAGAGGATTGCAAATATGAAAAGCATATGGAGAAGAGCAGTTTTCTCACAACTTTTGAGGAAGCTGAGCCAAGATCAGCACAGTTGCCTAGGTGACCCACAGCTGACTGCAGATACATCAGGGAGCCCAGTTTTGACCAAAAATTTTGCCTAGTCAGACCATACACTTGTTAGAAATATATCCTCATTATTTGAAGTGATTAGGTTTGGGATAGTTCATTATGCAAGAATACTGGGCAAAAGATAATTGACACAAAGTTCACAAAGTAAACAATTAAAGGAAATATTAAAAATCCCCAGCTTTACGTGTTCAAACTAATGTAAAACATTTGGACCCTGCAAGAAAAAAAGAGAAACTCAAATTGGCAGAAGAAAAATAAATTGAAAGAAGACTACAAAAACCTATAGGAAGTTACTGCTCAGTGCTATTAGTTGTCAGCGAAACGCAAACTAAAAACACAAGCCAATCCTATTGCACCCTAATGGCTAAAAAAAAAAGACAGTACTCTTCCAGTTATCTATTGCAACAGAAAGAACTACCTCAAAACTTAGTGGATTAAAATACCTCAATTTTCTATCTCATAATCTCATGTTTCAAGAATTCTAGCAGCAGGCTTACATGGGTGATTCTTGTGTTCTGTGTGGCACTGAAGGAAGTCCAGTGGCTGGGCTGGTAGGAAATATTCAAGACAACTTCACTCATGTGACTGAAATAAGTTTGCTGGAAGGCTGGGATTAACTGATACTGTCAATCAGACCTCTCTAGCATGGTCATCTCAGGGTGGTCCGGCTACTTATATGGTGTCTCAGAGCTCCAAATGAGGGAGTTTCAAGATGCCCAAGGAGAAGCTGCAATGCTTCCTAATACCAACAAGCCTTGGAAGTTCTAGAACTTCACTTCTGTTGTAGTCTATTGGCCAAGGAATTCATCAAGCCCAGCCCTGATTTAAGAGGTAGGGAATTACACTCCACCCCTCAACAGGAGAGTGAGCAAAGAATTGCTAACCATCATTAACCTAAGCAATTGCAACTATTTGCAAGGAGGGCAAATACCCGGGTGATGCAAGTATAAAATGGTACATCCAGTTTTGCAAACTATTTGGCAGTATGCTCTAAAGCTAATCATATGCATATTCTAACATCCAGCAATTACTCTCCTAGACAATTACAAAAATGTAAACATATGTTCTCCAAAAGACATGCACTAAAATGATAATTGTAGTGTTAGTTAGTTCCAAATGGGAAAATACAGCAATGTTTTTTTAATAGTAAAATGGCTAAAGGGTGTGTGGCAGACTACAGCGATCTCCCAACCAACGTGTTCTTCCTAACATAAGATTGACAATTTTATTCTCAAGAGGTAAGATGTGTATTACCCTTCCCCCCTTGAAACTGGGTGGACTGGTGATCATTGTTAGCGACACTATGTGACTTTTGAAGCTAAATCATGAAATAACAGAAAGTTCTTACCTGATTTTCTTGGGATGCTCACTCCTGGAACCCAGGCACCTTGACACAGGGAGCCCAAGCAGCCAATTGAGAGACCAGCCTGGAGAGAAATGGCACTTTGGATGAACCTATAGCTGCCAGCTTGTGCCAACACACCAGCCACATAAGTAAGCCAGCCTTAAAATTAATCCCATAGCCCTCAATCAAACCTGCCTTGGCTGACACCAGCTTAAGCCAAGATGAGCTGACCTAGCTTAGTTCTGCCCAAATTTACATGGTTGTGACCAAAATAAATGGTTGCCATTGATTTAAGCCATTACATTTAGAGGTTCTTTTTATGCAGCTACAATAGCTGGAGCAGAATGTGATGCCAGAAATGACTACCTGAGACATTGGTGTTGGGACCAGAAAGCAGGTCCTAAATGCTTCCTGAGAAAATTGTCAGTGAAATCCCAAAAGATCTCAAGGAGGCTGTTAGTAAAGAGCTAAAGGAAGAGGATGTTATTGCAAGTTGGAGGAAAGAGCTCTCATGTTATGTAGAGGTGGAATTGTTGGCGACACTGTCACCTGCAGTACTGTGGAAGGTAGGCAAAGGACCCATTGAACTGGATGACCTAGCTAAGGAGGCGTTCAGGTAGACCATTTGTAGTGCCATCTGCCATCATCTCACTGTCTATGATAAAATATGAGAGGAGAGACACGGCATAAAGAAGGGTTTAAATTTGAAAATTCATCACATATTGAGTTGTAAAATAAAATTTTTCTCATTTCCAGTCTTTCTTCATGGCAAAATACCCTCAAATGATCAAAGATCAAATCTCAGATAGGACCATAACGTCCTTTGTTAAGGCTTCAGAAATATTAAAGGGAGTAATTCATAAAATCTTTCAGACAGAAAAATGACCTAAAAATATACTCAGGGAATGTCTTTCAAGATGCTTTTCTTTAGACAATAGGGCTTCGAGGAATCTTAAAGGCATCGATCCACAGTTGCCTTACAGAGAGAACAAGGCAGAGAAGAGCTTATGGCTACAGGTTTCGTCTGATATATATATATACACAAAAATATATCTCATACATACAAACACATAGGCATAAATATCACATATATGATTGTTGTTTTAAACCACTGTTTTCTACATTAGTTTATAGCACAGCAAGAATAACTGGAGCATGGTGGTTTATTTACACAATGCACTACTACTATAGGGTGATGAAAATGACAAACGCTATAAATATAAACAAAAATATGTGAATGATTCTTCAATAAGGGAAGGACAAAAAAGTATATATAAGACATGATTCAATTTTTAAGGTTTAAAAGTAGAAAAACCATGTTTTTTTGCTTGAGAAGGGTTAGTCCTTAGCTAACATCTATGCCAGTCTTCCTCCTCTTTATATGTGGGTCACCACCACAGCGTGGCTGATGAGTGGTGTAGGTCCAAACCCAGGATCTGAACGTCCGAACCCAGGCTGCTGAAATAGAGCATGCTGAACTTAACCACTAGGCCACAGGGCCAGTCATCATTTTATAAGATTTTCATCAAGTTGTATAGGTGATATGTTGTGATGATCTGTGCCCTTTCTGTGCATATATTATACTTGTGTTGGTGAGGATTCAGTCTTGAAAACAGAGGGAGATGAATGTGGTTAAAGTTCTCTAGGATCTTAGACTTGTCTGGAAGAACATAAAAGTACCAAGATATAGGATGCTCTAATAATATAGCAACATTGCCCAGGACCCATGTTGTAATCTGGAGGGTAGCCACTCAAAGAATATCAGGGAAATGTTTTATTGACAAGCCAATAGTGGAGAAAATTAAATTAATATAATAAATACAATATTGGTCCATAAGATGGCAAGAGAGTACAGGGAACATGTAACAGCTATGACAAAGAGAACAATGGCGAGGTGAAAGATAAAAATATAAATATACCAGCAATTTCTTCACTCTAAGAGATCTACATTATGTGAAAAAAAAATACAACATATCAAAAGGCAAAATAGCTTCACTGATAACCTTTATCAAGTTTGTGATAACCTTTGTCTGTCCTGAACCTGGAATGCCCGTGGTTGTGGGGGTGACCAGAAGGTCGTAGTTATAACAGTGAAGAGGCTGGGCATCCTTGTGCCTCTTTCTGTGTGCAAAGCTATTACCTCCTTCCTCCTGTGCCTTTAAACTAGTGACTTTGGTTACTTTATATTTCTATTTTTTTTAAAGATTGGCACCTGAGATAACATCTGTAGCCAATCTTTTTTTTTCTTCTTCTCCACAAAGCCCCCCAGTATATAGTTGTATATTCTAGTTGTAGGTCCCTCTGGTCCTTCTATGTGGGACACCGCCTCAGCATGGGCTGACAATCAGTGCAATGTCCACGCCCAGGATCTGAACCAGCGAAACCCCGGGCCACCGAAGCACAACACGTGAACTTAACCACTTGGCCATGGGGCCAGCCCCTACATTTCTATTTTTGTCACCTATAAAACAGATAACAATAGTATCTACATTAGGCTTTGAGAGGATTAATGGAAGAACATCCTTAGGAAACTGCCAGGGATCTAGAAACAACAGGCAGCACAATATGATTTTATTACTGTTATTTCTATATAAAATGGGGTTCATTGCTCACCAGAAATAATGATAGCTTCTAGTCCTGTAGATGAATTATTTTGATTCATCTCTAATTGTCTAGATATTCTTGTCAAGGAATTTTTCTTTTTCCTTTTTTTGTTTTAATGTGAAGCTCATCTTCCCCTACCTCCTAAGTGCTTTCATGCTTGTAGTGGAATGATATTGTGACTGGGAATAATATGCTTGGGTCATATTTTCTTTCTCTCAGTGCTTTGAAGACAGCACTTCATTGTCATCAGACTTGGACTATTACTATGAAGAAGCTGAAGATTAGGCTAATTTTTCCTGCTTTTAGTTGATATTTTTTGGTGTGATCGTCTAAAGAACTCTATCCTTCAAGTTCAATAACAACTTCAGGCTATCTGCAGTCTTTCTTAGAATGCCTTGGCTCTTGTTAAATTCCCTCGAGCAGCGTTCATGTCAATTAATTTAGTGGTGTATCCTGTTCACGTAGAAGGATACCACTGGGCTTCGAATCATTTCCTCAATCCAATATGTAGGCCTAGGGTTTATTTTGTTGGAGAGAAACAGCTTTGTTCACTTGACCATGTTGTATCGTCCTCTAGCTGTCAATATGTAGTCTCCCCTTTCTGAAGGGAGTACACTCCAAGACCCCCAGTGGATGCCTGAAACCTGGGATAGTACCAAACCCTATATATACTATGCTTTTTCCTATACATACATACATTTATAAGTTAGGCACAGTAAGAGATTCATGGTACTTTGGGGCCGTTATTGAGTAAAACAAAGGTTATTTGAAATGAGGACAGCTGATCTGATAACTGATGTGGCTACTAAAAGATTAATGGGTGGATAGTGTACACAGTGTGGATTCACTGGACAAAAGGATAATTCATGTCCTGGACAGGACAGAGTGGGATGGCATGGAATTTCATCATACTACTCAGAATACGCAATTTAAAACTTAGGAATTGCTATTTCTGGAATTTTTTATTTAATATTTTCAGACCATGATTGACTGTGGGTAACGGAAACCACAGAAAGTGAAACTGTGGTTAAGTGCGGACTGCTGTGATTTCCACTTTTCCTCAGTCAGAAGTGGGAAAAGAAAAGTGTGCCCCCTCAGTTTGTTCCCCTACACACTTGGAAATGTTAATAGGAATTGCGCACGATACTAGCATTTCACCAGAATGGCTTCCACAGGGAAAAAGCAATTTGAGGAACTACGATTCCTTTTTCTTTTCTTGAAAGATTCAATTAAGTGAATCTTGTTTTGTTCCTTGGCTTGAAGTTTTGAACATGATTTCATTAAGTTATATCTCTTTCCTTATTTTATTTTGTTTATGGAACTTTGTTTTGTTTTTTCATTTGTTTAACAGTTTTTACTAGTTTTTGTTCATTTTACAAGGATTAGGGAGAGGAAATGCTTTGAAGCTGAAGTCCATCTTACTTATGCTTATATAAATAGTTGACCAAGAAGGCAATTAGGAATAAATATATTTGAAGGAAAAAACAAACTAGGAGAGCCCTAAATGAACATAAGAACTTTCAAGAAGTAAGTAAAGGAATTTCAAGAAAATAATGATTCATTCTGAATAAGAACTGAAAAATATGGGGAAAGTATTTTTTTAATGAATGGAGAAGAATAGAGTCAGAATCCAGGCAAGAATTATGTGTATTTTTTGCAACCATATGAAATTATTAGGCTGGAGATTGTTAGTCTTATGCCTTGAGCAGCTGTATGTAAGCCACTGCTTTCTAACAGACACTGTTTATATGTAGTGGATGCACTTAATGATTTTCTAAAGTGACAACATCAATTCCCTAAATGAATTTATAAGTATTTTGCAGCACCACTGAGGAGAGAGAGTTGAAATAGTAAATAATAATCAACACTACAAAGTACATTTACACATTTAAAAACTCTGAATATAAATGTGAAGAAGCCTCTATAGAATACACAAATTAGAAGTTATGAAGTGTTAAAATCTTAATTACACATTGATCCTTGTACTCTGTGGGTACTCAATATACATTTTTCGTAAAAATTTTGATTATGCTAGTTGTTCTTTTAGCATTATAATTATTAGTGTTCCTAACTCTAGATAATATTGTCAAACATGATATCCATTAAATGACTTGACTTTCTTTTTATTAGAAATTGGTACCTGTCTTTAAAGGAAATAAACATAAAATTTGAGAGGATCTTAGAATTTTAGACCTAAACGGAACCACTGAGATCAGGCACTATAAACACCTTCATTTTCCAAATAACATAAAAAAATCTCATAAATGTAAAACCTGGCAAGCTTCCTGCTTACATATACAACTAGCAATGGAGAAACATGTAACTCTTTCCATAAGGAAGGGAATAAATATACAGACAGGATTCTCATTTTTAAAGTAATTATGACCACTATTTTCTTTTTATTTCTAGAATAAGAGTATATTGCTCTGAACAATTGTGATTGCTTTCAAAATTTAATTACAGTGTAACTTTTAATTT